TTTTTTGGTCAGTTGTGGGGCTTGAACTCTGGGCCTGGGCACTGTTCCCCAGCTCTTCAGCTCAAGGTAGTGTTGTATCACTTGAGCCACAGCACCACTTCTGGTTTTTTGGTGGTTAATTGGAGATGAGTCTCATGGACCTTTTCCTGCCCAGGCTGGCTTTGAACCGAGATCCTCAGATCTCAGCCTCCTGAGTAGCTAGGATTACAGGTGTGAGCCACCGACCTCTAGCTTGCATTGTTTTTATTGACACTGTGTGCGTGTATACACACTATGATTTGAATTCACAGCCTCATGCACACTAGCTCTACCACTGAGCCGCATACCCCGCTCATGATGAATACTAATTGTACATATTAATGGGGCCAGTGTGGTACTAACATACACACCTAAAGGTATATAAGCACTGATGAAATTCAGCCTCCTTTACCCCCCACTCTTCCCAAGAAGAAAGATCCCGCCAGAATCCTTCTATCAGCTATGCCTTTTCCTCAGGGACCAGGACAAAGCCTGGGACGTGATATAAAGAATAAGTTTCCTATGGGAGACAGAAGCTGGATCACAGGATGGCAGAGTAGGAAACTCAAAAGACCTTGATTTTTATTCTAGCTTTTGAGGCTTGAGGACTTTTCTATTTTTTTTTGTGTGTGTGTGTGCCAGTACTGGAACCTAAACTCAGGGCCTGGGTGCTGCTGTCCCTTAGCTTTTTCATTCAGGGATGGTACCCTATGACTTGAACCACAGCTCTGCTTCTGGCTTTTTGCTGGACGATTGGAGATAGGAGCCTCATGAACTTTTCTGCTCAGGCTGACTACATGGTGGTCCTCAGATTACAGGTGTGAACTATGAGTAAAAAGAAGTGTCTGAGCTGTCTCAGACAGATTACAGGCTCACACCTGTAATCCTAGCTACTCAGGAAGCTGAGATCTGAGGATCACGGTTTAAGCCAGCCTGGGCAGGAAAGTCTGTGAGACTCCTCTCTCCAATTCATCACAGAAAAAGTTAGAAGTGAAGTAGCACTGTGGCTCAAGTGGTAGAGTACTAGCCTTGAGTTCAAGCCCCAGGAGTGGCCAAAAAAAAAAAAAAAACCCTGTCTTCCTTTTCTTTTTAAGAGGCTTGTGAACTCCTTGCTGGATAAGTTGACCAACCACTAGGCCACAGGGTCCTCTATACAAAGGGGATACCTCCTGCCTGGGGCTGGTGTGTGGATTAGCCGAGATAACACTTGCAGGTGCCTTCTTTGGCATATGAGTGCTCACTACATGCTGTTCATGCTTTCTTGCCTCCGGGTTGTGGAGTTACCACACTACAGCAAAGCCCCTCTCTTCTCCGAAGACCTGCTGAGGGAAAGCCTGGGCTTCTACCTGTGGCCTCAGTGAGGGGCAGGTTTTTGCCAGAGATGGACCAATGACTTTATAAAAAAACTCAACCTGTGATTTTTTTTTTTCTTCAGTATAAACATTAAAAGCTCTCAAACCTCTTATGTTGGTACTGTCTCCCTGTCTTTCTAAAGCTCTTGGTAGAGGCCTGTCCAGCAGTTTTTAGCACCGCAGGAATCCACAGGGAATAGTTGATGGGGTGGGTGGGAGTCTGGTTTGACTTTTTAAATTTTCCTGAATGACTGGTTGGGTGCCCTTGACTGGGAAAAGTGAGCCAAGTTGGAAGTGGTCCTGGGTTTGAACTTAGGGCAGATGCTTTACCACTTGAGCCATGCCCCTCAATTTTTTTTCTTTCTTTTTCTTTTTTTTGGGTCCAGTTGTGGGGCCTAAACTCTGGGCCTGGGCACTGTCCCTCAGCTCTTCAGCTCAAGGCTAGCGCTCTACCACTTGAGCCACAGCACCACTTCTGGTTTTTTTCTTTTTACTTATGTGGTGCTGAGGAATCGAACCCAGGGCCTCAGGCATGCAAGGCAAGCGCTCAACCACTGAGCCACCTTCCCAGCCCCCTCAATTTTTTTTTCTTTACAGGTAGGGTCTCTTCGTTTTGTCTGAAACTGCCCTCAGTCCCTGATCCTCCTACTTATGGGCTCCCATGTAGCTAGGAACCCTGGCATGCCCCACCATGCTTGGGTTATTGGTTGAGATGGATGTCTTAGTAACTTTCTGCCAGGAATGGACTTGAATGGGGATCCTCCTATCTCTGCCTCCCAAGCAGCTGGTATTACAGGTGCGAACTCCCATGCCCAATCCAGAAAAAGTCTTGAGAACACCATAATGAGGAACACATAGTTTCCGGATAGCCTGAGATCAGTCATTTACAGCTGTCTCAAAATTAAAATTCTTCTAGTTTAATTCCTCTTCCCCCTCTGTATAATAAAAAGCTTGCCTTGCCTTTGTTTTCAGTTCCTGACTGGTAGATTAAATCTCTAGGGTTTCCCAAATGAATGTGTTCTTGTTATTTGTGGTGGTCCCCTCAAAACCATACCAGGATTAAGTGTTGAGATCTGACCTTAGACCACACGAGTTTATATAGAGATTTAATCACAGACAGAACCTGAATTTATGCTAAGATGTGAGTGATACTGGATAGAGGCTGGTTATGCCAGAAAGACCAACCATATGCTATCAAGAGTTGGAACTTCCAGATGAGTATTGTAGTCTGATCTCCTGGGAAGGGAAAGTGGCTAGAGACTGAGTTGAGTCACATGGAGATTCTGTCTCCAAAAATAATCAGTAAAAGTCAGGTACTGAGACCTAGCTAATCCTAGGTACTGAGCAGGCAGAGGACTGAGGTTCAGTGCCACCTCTGGCAGAAAAATCCACAAGACTCCAACTAGCCAAAATCAGAGCTGGAGGCATGGTTCAAGCAGTAGAGGACCAGCTGAGAAAGAATGTGAGACCATACCCCTTCTAGTTCAAACCCTAGTACTGGCAAAAGAAAAGGGGAAAGGCTAGCCAAAAGGTAACTCAAGTGATAGAGCACAAGGCAAGCAAAGAAACCAATCAAGTGTGAAATTAAACCCGAGTTCTGTTAAAAAAAAGGTGGGGGGAGGCTAGGGGACTGGGAATGTGGCTTAGTGGTAAAATCCTTGCCTAACCTGCATGAACCCCTGGGTTTGATTCCTCAGTACCACATACATAGAAAAAGCCAAAAGTGTCACTGTGGCTCAAGTGGTAGAGTGCTATAGCCTTGAGCAAAAGAAGCTCAGGGACAGTGCCCAGGCCCTGAGTTCAAGCCTCAAGACTGGCAAAAACAAAACACACATACATATACACAAAACACAGATCTGTGTGTTTAGAATATTCCCAGATTTTTTATTTATTTCTTTTCCTGGTGCTAGGGCTTGAACTCAGAGCCTGACTTTGTCCCTGAGTTTTCTTGGTTGAGGAAGGACTTGAGCCACAGCTCCATCTCTAGCTTTTTTTTTTTTTTGGTCCGGTCGTGGGGCCTGAACTCTGGGCCTGGGCGCTGTCCCTCAGCTCTTCAGCTCAAGGCTAGCGCTCTACCACTTGAGCCACAGCGCCACTTCTGGCTTTTTTCTTTTTGCTTATGTGGTGCTGAGGAATCGAACCCAGGGCCTCAGGCATGCAAGGCAAACACTCTACCACTGAGCCACCTTCCCAGCCCCCATCTCTAGCTTTTTGATGATTAATTGGAGGTAAGAGTCTCATGCACTTTCCTACGTAGGCTGGCTTTGAACTGTGATCCTCAGATCTCAGCCTCATGAATAGCTAGGATTACAGGCTTGAGCCACTTGTATCCAGCTCTGATTTATATTCTGAAGATGTCTTTTTCTTCTTTTAATGTTAGGGATAAAACCCAGGGTCTTGTGTATGCTAAGCACGTGCTATTCCACTGAGCTACATCTCAAGTCCCTGATTTGTATTCTTTGTTATAAAATGGTAGTAATAAGTGCAGTGTTTTCCTGAGTTCTGTGTGTCTCTAGCAAATTACTGAACCTCAGAGGTTATGAAACCTCTTGAATTTATAGCCAGTTGGCTAGAAGTACAGGTGGCACAGGATCCCCAAATTTGCAAGTGCCGTTTGAGTTGAGGATGATGTTATTGGGGACTAACCCTTTGAGCTTACAAAGAATGCACCGATACCAAGTGGTCATGTGGAATAGCTAACAGAGGTAGAGGCTGTTTGTTCCTTATATATTTGGCTGAGGAAGTAAAGCAGTGGATTCTGGAGAAAAGCCTAGAGGGTGGGTGAGAATCAGATGGTGAAGGTTGAGTTGTGTAGGACTTAGAAGAACTTGCGTTGTGGAGACCAGGCTGACTTGAAGGCCTAGGCAAGGCAGTCTGACCTCCAGTAGGGCTGTTGCTCTCAGTTCCCTGGAGTGTGACTTGTTGGGAAGGGGCTAATTAGGATCCTGGGCCTTTTTCCCAGGTTACTGTTTTATATTGCCAGGGCTATCATGACAACAATACTACAGGCTGGGAATGTGGCGTAGTGGTAGAGGGCTTGCCTAGCATGCATAAAGCCCTGGGTTTGATTCCTAAGTACCACGTGCACAGAAAAAGCCAGAAATGGCTCTGTGGCTCAAGTGGTAGAGGGCTAGCCTTGAACAAAAGAAGCTCAGGGACAGTGCCTAAGCCCAGAGTTCAGGCCCCAGGACTGGCAAAACAGAACAAAAATACTACAGACTGGGCAGCTTATGAAAAGAAATGGGTTAGCTTTCTCCTAAGGTCTCTTCGTGGCT